ATTATAAGGCGGATGGGAAAGTGGAGCTGGAGGGATACATAGGCAGATCATTGAGAATTTTTGCTGCCAGACGTAATACGACGCTTTTCATAAATTACCCCTATGAAGTGGGTAAAACCGTCTACTATGATGTACTGCAGGATTTGGCGCAAAATGGCACCATCGATATAGGGGCGGGTATGAGATATGTGAAACCCAATGACGACATGGAAAATCTGACGTATCCAGTGCAGACGATCGATTATTGCTACATGGTGCCACTACCGGAAAATGTGCCCATAAATGAGCTGTTCGTTGGCATCGTACCAATTCCAATTCTATTTTGCATATTCGCGTTCATAGTTATTTTCGCTGCATTACTGACCCACTTCAACAAGCGCAAGCAGATCAATTTTATCAACCTATTTCTAAATGATCAAAGCATTCGCGGCATGCTGAGCCAGTCTTTTGTGATAGTCGCTCAACCGAGCGTTAAAACCAAGTTCGTCGTATTTTTGCTATGCTATATGAGCATCATTACCAATACCACTTACCAAGCTTACCTGCAGTCCTTTCTCACCCATCCTCCGCTTCTGCCGATGCATCGTAGTTACGAAGACTTGGAAGCTGCTGGTTTGAAAATTGTATTTCCTTCACACGATAGATCAGTCATAAAACAGAATCAGAGCCTTTTGGAACACATGCATCTTGTAAAATTCATTCCAGAATTCGAAGAGTGGCTGAAGCTTCGTTCACGCATGAATACAAAATATGTATATCCAGTGTCGAATATTCGCTGGGAGATCTTCGAATTCCAACAGAGTTTCTTCAACCGGCCGATATTCTACTTCAATTCCGACTTGTGCTTGTACAGAAATACGTTTGTCTGTATGCCCATTCGTACAGACCTGCCCTATCGCGATTTGTTGGACGACTTTGTGCTGCGTCTGCATTCTTCGGGTATTATGAAAGAGTGGGTGTCTTTGAACTTTTTTGTGCTGGCGAAACTAAAAAGGGTAGTGTTTCTGGATTTGAGCAAACCGTTCAACTATGGACGACCGTTGGTGGTGGATGATTTCTTTTGGATTAAAATGCTGTATATCGGAAGTATGTCGTTGGGTATGCTGGCTTTTTTAGGCGAAATTTTGTACTACCGTTCGAAGTATGATTACCAAATTGCATCAGCATAATAAAGAAGACAATAAAGAAATGTGTGTGTTTTTTGGGGGGTTGGGGGGCATGTCCCCCCCCCCATGTTACTACGCTAGAAGTTATTTTCATTTGTTGCACTGGTTTACATCAAAAATGTTCTATGGATTCCACTATCCAATTTCTATGTAGAATTGCTCGGTGATTCCGAAAATCGAGTTGAGTTTTTTTCTATGGATACGTTTTCATGATATTTGCAATTTACAGTTATTCAGCTTAAAACAAAAAGTGGTTCCACTTAATCACGTATATCTTGTGAACAAATCTAACAATCAAATCTCCATACCAGAAATGTTGGTTCAGTTAAGTGGGTTGCCCTGAAAAATCTTTTTCAGTTGCCCTTGCCGTTGTTTGGTTACAGCATATCGCACATTTGCTGCAAGAGTTTCATAAGCCAAAAAATCAAAAAAACTCGAGAAAAACGGCTTTTCAGCTTTGAATTTATATCCTTATTTGCTAAAATTATAAATCTGAAAGTGATTCTGTTTGTTTGTTATGCTTTCACGCTTTAACTACTCAACCGATCATTATGAAATTTTGTACACTGGTGTCCTTTAGCCTAACTTAAAATGTAGTAGGGATTTAATCTCGATTGGACGAGGGAGCGTGGCACCTCCCCATATAAACATAATTTTTCATACTGCATATCTCAGGAAATATTTGTGATAGAGTACTGGAGCTTGGTATGGAGATACATTAAAGCACTTCCATACTCATGGAGGAGGGCTGCCACCTGTTTAAAAAATCAAATTCAACTTGAAGTAAGGAAATTATTTATTTGAAAATTATATTAAAAAATGGATGCCGAGAGGCTTAAAAAAGTTTTTGTTTGAAAATATTTTGAAAACGGTTATTCGCAAGATATCTGAAAAATTAAAATATGGGTGTCATACGAAAGATTATTATTAATCCTACAGATTGAACATTTACAAAATTGTTGAGGTATTTTATAGTTAGTGTTAAAAAAAAATCAAATGTTACTTGAGTTAAGGAAATTAGGTAATTGGAATATGTTCGCAATATCGGCGTCGGACGAAAGAGGTTTAATCAGGGCTACCACTGAATCCGTCATAGTCCAAATTTTCGCGAAATCTACGAAAATGCTATCACTAAATCTGAATAGATACGAACGAAGCATGCACTTTGAAGAATAAGGTTTTCGTTGGAAAATATTTATGACACTCTTGCAGTCAATTTTCTTTATGTAGATTTTTTCGATTTGAAAAGTCGAGATTCTTTGTACGCGGTAATCTTGAAAACTACGGAACGGATTTTGACGAGAGGGATCTTTTTTTACTTAGAATTTTAATAGGGTTGCCACCTGTCTAAAAATATATAAGATCCGCACCATTTGTTAGATTTCAAAAGATGGGGTATCAAATGAAAGGGATTGGCCTCTGGAAAAGCACTAATATTTTTTTTTTTAATAAGGTTGCCACCTGTTAATAAATTTACTATATTCAATCATGATAAGCATAGGCATCAGTTCTGTACCGTCACTGTCAAATGAAAAGACTTAGCCTCTGGATGTGTAATAACGTATTATTTCTCTGAGTAGGGTTGCCCCCTGTTTAAAAACTATAAGATCTTCACCGTCCGTTCGATAAAAAAGTGATATACCAAATGAAAGTGCATGGCCTCGCATGTAAAAAAAAACTTTAAGTTTTTTGAGTAGGGTTGCCACCTATTTAAAATTACTATCTTCTATACATAGTATAAAGGAAAGGCGAGATATTTTAACCACACTACTGAACGAATTTAGGCAAGATTTTTTATGTATATAATACACGAAGTACATGATGACATATGATTTCTTTCTCCAAATACGTAAATGTACATACATACATATGCACACATTGAGTGCGTGAGGAAGCATCGAGCATCCGTGGCCGGCTAGTCTATTATATTTATATGTTGGTGTTCGTTGATTGCTCCGACTGGGTGGTATGTTAATTTATTTTGGAACGAATATCCATCATCCCTTGTCAAGTTCGTTTCGCAGACAAACCGGTTTCGGCGTTATGTCATTTTCAGTGTCATTGTTCGCTCCTAAGGTGAAATTCTGCAATCAAATTTCTTCTGCCACTCAATCCTAATATAAGACCAGTCAGTAAGGTTAAGCATAATGACCGATGAAAGAAAGTGCCTGATTATTCAAAAGAGAAGATTAAGAAATATTTATTAGAAATTTTACCTCTAATTTTCCTAACTAGGAAGCGTAAACTGACCTTCTATATAAACAACTATCTAAATACAACACCAACCCTGTAATTAGGTTAGTATGTATTACAAAGACTTATATTGATTAACTTTTGCTTTGAAAAAAAAAACAAAAACGTTGTCCATCAATTTTAATGTGTGTGAGCCAAAGATCGATCTGGATCTCAACTATTGTTAATTCAAAAGTCTACCCACTCATTTATGACTACCACCATAGCATAGCATAGTTTTGTATGTTTCGTTCAGAAAACATGAAAAAGGACGCGTCAAAAAATTTTCTATGGAAATGTATTTTTTTTTTATCTGAACTGCAAATACGTACAAGCACTAAATGCATACTTAACGTCGAATGCACAAGTACGAGCACAGTTCAGTTTTTCGAGTCACGACGTTCAATGGGCACTTTCACCATGTCGACGGATCAGCGCTTGAAGAGCTTGATACTTATTTTATTGCTGGTAGTGAAGGAGAATTCTGCCAAGCCTTTACAAATTTTGCCTGCTGAAAATAACAAAATGACGAGCGAATTACTAAATTTGCTAAAGCAGATCCAAAGGGAACGCGATTTCAATACACTCGCAATTTCCCAGGCATCAACAGAGGAATGTCCTTTTAATAGTCTTCTCAAGGAAATAACGTTACCTGCGGTGATTCTAAACCAGGGTTTGGCGTATACTTACAAGGCGCAATTCTCAAAAGAGCTACTGATTCTGCTCTGCCTACAGCAATCAAGTGTAGCTGCTAGATTAGCAGAGCTCAATGTATTCCGAGGCTTGAAGCAAACTCGCATAATGGCTTATGCGCCACATGCAACCGATCTTGACCTGGTACAACAATATTGCCTCGACGCTATGGCCAACGACATTTACAATGTTTTAATAATTCAAAAGGATTTCAGTGAGACCCAAAACTACCACACTTGCAACAAATTTCCGTTGGATGCGCCTCGCTACAAACAGAAAAGTCTTCATCTCCTAGACGCTCCGAGCGCCATCTTCGAACACCAATTTCGCAATATGTACGGTACGCCAATATTAACATTTCCCACTCAACTTGAACCGTTCACCATGATGTACTATAAGGCGGATGGAAAATTGGAGCTGGAAGGATACTTGGGTAGAGCCCTAAAAGCTTTTGCAAACAGATGTAATACGACGCTATTTATAAATGGCCCCTACCAGCTGGGCCAAAGCGTTCATTTTGGCGTACTGCAGGAGCTCGCGGAGAACGGCACCGTCGATGTAGCCGCTGGCATGGTATTTGTGAAACCAAATGACGAGTTAGAAAAGTTGTCGTATCCAGTACAGCTGCTGGATTTTTGCTACATGGTGCCACTAAAAAGTGTGCCTATAAATGAGCTATTCATTGGTATCGTACCAATTCCAATGCTCTTTTGCATCTTCGTATTCATTGTTGTTTTCGCTGCACTACTCACTCACCTCGATAAACGCAAGCAGATCAATTTTATCAACCTATTTCTAAATGATCAAAGCATTCGCGGCATGCTGAGCCAGTCTTTTGTGATAGCCGCTAAACCGAGCGGCAAAACCAAGTTTGTCGTATTTTTGCTGTGCTATATGAGCATTATTACTAACACCACTTATCAAGCCTACCTGCAGTCCTTTCTCACCCATCCTCCTCTTCTACCGATGCATCATAGTTACGAAGACTTGGAAGCTGCTGGTTTGACCATTTTATTTGCTGAGCCTGATGTGTCAATCATAAAAGGGAATAAAAACCTGATGGAGCACTTTCATCAATTCAAAATTTCAAAATACGAAGATTGGGTGAAGCTCCGTGCACGCATGAATACAAAATATGTATATCCTATCACAAATTTGCGCTGGGAGACCATCGACCTCCAACAGAGTCTCTTCAGCCGGCCCATATTCTACTTTAATTCTGAGTTTTGTTTTTTTAGAACCATGTTCTGCTGCCTGCCCATCCGTACGGATCTGCCATATCGTGATTTATTGGATGACTTTGTACTGCGTCTGCATTCTTCGGGTATTATGAAAGAGTGGGTGTCGATGAGTTTCTTATTAATGCTGAAACTAAAAAAGGTAGTATTTGAAGATTTAAGCCAACCGTTCGACTATGGACGACCATTAGTGCTGGATGACTTTTTTTGGATAAAAATTCAATTTGTCGGAAGTACTTCAATTGCATTTCTGGTTTTTTTGGGCGAGATTTTGTACTCTCGTTGGAAAAAAATGAAGGGAGTGTCGATCAAGAGAATCGCTTATAGTTCTGTGGATAATTCAAACAGAGTGGCTTAAGAACTTTACGTGCGGCTCTCCGGACTATAATGAATCCTAAGATGATTCCCAGTTAATAATATCGCACTCATGCAAGTTAAAAAAAAAAGAAATATTTTTGTGGTGAACCCTGATTATACCGTCACATTTTTAATAAAGTATTATTATGAATTAGTGCACCGTATTAAACAAATCCATTCAAAGTAATTTTTATTAACGGAGCAATTATTCTGTGTAGGTCTTGTATATTATTTTTGTCAGAATCCATATACTCTCCTTGAAAAGCTAATGAAATTAGGCTGTTATGCTCCGAGTCAATATATTAGGATTTTTAGTCAAGTTTTCCGACGGCAATCGCAAACTCGCCAAATAAACTGGACGGTGGGACCTATACTGTTAGGTACGTATATTTATCGCATGTTTTGGAAGAAACATAACAGTGCGTCAATGAGTCAAAGTGGGTCAAGGTGAGTAAGTCCAATCCACAGGGAAAGTTCCCTCAC